TTGTATAAATGTCCAGTGACATTCTTTGCTTCTTAAAAATCTGCACCAATATCTAAGGGATTAGAGAGAATAAAATGAGAGGAAGCAGGGGTAATATTTCCTTAGCACTGGAAAATCTTAGTGGTTGGGAAACAAAATTCCATGTTTTTCACAACTTGTTCACGTAGATGCACTATTTTTGTCAGTCAGTGTAACATCTACTGTGGGCAATAAGTATAAATCATTGCCTTTATCAAAAAGTCTGCACAATCTGGATGTGCTGGCACATGCCTTTAATCCCAGCACTCGGGAGGCAGAGGCAGGTGGATCTTTGTGAGTTCAAGGCCAGCCTGGTCTACAGAGTGAGTTCCAGGAAAGCCAGGTGTGTTACACAAAGAACCCCCCCACATACACATAAAAACCCTTCAATAATCAAAAACTTATTTTAAAACTTTTTGCATTAAACTTCTTATAGGCACATTGAATAGACACGATAATCCCACATGCTCCTGCCTGTATAATAAGACAGTAGTTGTTCCTCTGAAGTAAACAATGGGCTCCTGCCAGATAACTATGTAACTTTCTTCCTCTTAGGTTTCCCTTAATCCTATCTTCTTTTCTGGAAATAACTAGGTTACTCCCTTCCTTTATCATCACATCTCAGTAGATATTGTTTCCATATCTGATTGTGTTCTTTTTTTTTTTTGTAGCAGTGTTTTGGAACCTATTCATTAGAGCAGAATGGGGTATCTCTAACAAGCACCAAGTGATGCAATTCTTGACTAGCTGATGGTGTTTTGATTAGTAGGACCAGAGATCAAGAGGGAGGGAGGGATCAAGGAAGGAAGGAAGAGAGAGAGAGAGAGAGAGAGACTGAACCTAGGGTCTTGTGCATGCTAAGCAAGCATTCTACCACTACCACTGAGCCTCATCCCCAGCTATCTGCCTGTCTAATCTACTATTTTTATTTTGAGATAAGATCTCTATAAACTGTTTGGGAGGCCTTGAACTTATGATTCTACTGTCCCAGCCAGGTTAGCAGCTGAGATTACAGGCCTGAACAACCAAGTCCAGCATTTAAAAAAGTATAATTTTGAGACAGATAATGTTTATCTTCAGCTCTAGCTTAGATAATGCTAGATTGCTTAGCAATGTGATTGTACAAAATATCTTGTGCAATAGCTGTATGTGGGAGCGTTCTTTCTCATTTGAAAGGCTAAAAGAGATTTAACTATAACATTATTATGGTGCTGATTTAAAGTTTCTTAATTATTAATAAAGTTGATGAGGTTTAACATGTATATTGGTTCATTTTGTCTCTCTTGGTGTTTGTGAGCAGGCTCACTCTGTAGCCCTGGCTGTTCTGGAATTGGTGTGTTCACCAAGCTCCCAGAGATCTAGCTGCCTTTCTTGATTAACAGCACACACCACCCATACCTATCCCAGTTATTGATTTTCCAAATGTTCCCTTCATGTTTTTAACCTGTTTCCTCTCTGATGGGTGCATCCCCTTTTTTCCTTTCTTTCTTATTGGTTTATTCTTTTTGGGGGGGCAGGGCCTCACGTAGCACCCCTTTTCCTTGAATATGTACCATTGCGGCAAAAAAAAAAAAAGTCCCGAGGTGCTTGCTGGGCAGACTCTACCAACTGAGCTCCACTGGAGCATGATGTCTAGTTGGTCTTAATAATAAAAACCCAGAGACAGATATTGGGGTTAAAGCTGAAGATCAGAGAAGCAGAGCATCCAGCCACTAGAGAGCTCTCACCTCTACCAATGCTCAGACCAAAGAGGCGATCCTGTTCTCAGACTGCATTTCGAAACTGCATCTGACTCCACCAATCCTACAACTACACTGAGCTTCTGTCTTCTCACGCCTTATATTCCTCTCTAGTGCTGGGATTAAAGGCTTGGGATCCCAAGTGCTAAGATCATCTTTGTGTGAACTCTGTTCTTCTTTAGACTGGATCAATTTCATGTAGCACAAACTGGCCTTGAACTAAGAGAGATCCATCTGCCTCTGTCTCCTGAGTGCTGGGATTAAAGGTGTGTACCACCACTGCCTGACCTCTATGGCTAACTAGTGTGGCTAACTTTGCATGCTGCTCTTCAGGCAAGCCAATTATTTGTTAGATATTAAACAAAATATCACCACACTGCACCCCCAGACTTCTTTGTGATTTTCTTGTTGACATGAATAGTAACTCTCTAAACCCATGCAATTACTTCTGTAAAACTGAGACTTCCTGCTATGTTTTCCTTTGACAATTTCCAGTTCTCATATACACAATAACATGAAAGCTCTAACTTAAATGATCTTGTGTTTTGTTTTGTTTTGTTTTTTTTGTATTTGTTTTTGTTTCTATAACATCGCTGTTATTTCTGTTTTTGGACTGTTGCAAATAATTTTGCTTCTGAACATTTAGACAAAAGCTTTTGTGTAGACACATTTTCTTTCCTTCCTTCCTTCCTTCCTTCCTTCCTTCCTTCCTTCCTGGTTTTTCTCTATATAGTCCTGTGCTCTGTGGATTAGGTTGGCCTGGAACTCAGCTTCACCTGCCTCTGCCTCCTAGTGCTGGGATTAAAGAAGTGCACCACCACTGCCCAGCTGTGTAAACACATGTTCATTTCTGTCAGGGACAGAATTGCTAACGTCCTGGGTAATACAACATTCAACCTTTTGGAAGTGTGTCAGGCTGTGTTCAAAAGGGACTTATCGTTGTGCATCCCCATCAGCAGTAAGTAGTTTATGAAGATTCTCTGGTTTCCTCACATCCTTAAACACTAGTCGTTATCTTCTTTGGAGTCATCCTAGCAGATTTCACATGCTATTTCACGATAG